TTATTATTATTATTATTATTATTATTATTAGAAGAGTTTGAAGTCAAAATGCGTGAAAAGCTTAAGCACTCCTTCATCCCTCTTTTTTCTCCCATAATGCACTTGTTTTCAAAGAAGTCTTTGTGTTCATTTAAACCACAGCCTTGCTGTTATATGTGAACTAGTGCATTATGGTTTGGCACTCCCCACAAACCAAGATTACAAATGCTGAGTTGATACTGGCTTGTGTTCCTTTTTTGTAAGGAGTATTTAAACCAAAGATGGGGAAGGAGTGGACTGCAAGTCCCATGCAGACCCTGATGCCTACTTTTGTAGCTTCACAAAGCCTCCACCAGTCCCCCTCCCCCACCTCATTTAAAAACTGGCACAAGTTACAGAATTATTTTGCTTGAATGCTGCACCCACCAATGACACTATGTTTCCATGGTGGTGCTGTTGTGTGTTCCTGTGAGGCAAGAGGCTATGTAGATGGCAGTGTGCTACTGGTACAGCCTTCTATGTCAGACCAATAGAAGATGACAATAAAAAAGGAAGAACAAGAGACCTCATACACAAGATACAAGAAATCAAAGGGAGATTTAAACCAAGGGTGGGGATACCCCATGATCAACAAGAAAACAAATTATATGATCAAGTAGAAATAAAAAGACTATAGAAACGATACACTGACAACTATGTACAAGGAATTAAAGGATGACAGATTAATTCAAGGAAGAATCATTTGAAGATGAACCTACAATTTTAGAAAGTGAAGTAGTAGATGCGCTCAGAGCACTTGAAAGAAATAAAACACCAGGAACAGATATTATATCAATAGAGTTGCTTCAGAATCTGTCAATAAATATGGAAAATGAAACAGTGGCCCACAGATTGCTCATGCTCAATACACATTCCAGCCCCAAGAAAGGAGAGGTTAAAAGACACCTTCACCTTCATATGAATAAAAGAAAGAGAATCTGAAAGAATTGGACAATGTCGAGGACTGGTGGGGACAAGGAAGTTCCAGTCAAAATGGTAGGCTAGAATTCAAAGACATAGACATGTTAATATACATAATGGTAAACTAGTCTTTTTTATTTCCACCTGTACTGCCAGTCTCCCCTCTTTTGTAATAATAATAATAATAATATTCATTTAATACCCCGCCTATTGGAAAACCAATCCAGGCGGCTTACAAATTAAAATCAAATGCAAATGTTAATTTCAGAATGCATCTACTGAACCAGTTGCAGAAATCTTAATGCCAAGCATCCTTTTAACTGGAAATGTGGATAGGCAGTGAAATCCCACCCCTCCTTGTCCTTTAAGTGTATCTAAACATCTTAGATCAATCAGGTGGTATCTCCCCCCCCCCCAAAAAAAAATCTTGGTCACAATATATTTAATGGCTTGTTGGAAATAAGAACATTCATAAAGTATCTTTTAGCTTTGTCACAAAGCACTTGGCAAGACGTGATGTGATTGAAAGCCAGTCTGAGGCCTCACTACAACTTAGCGGTGTCAGTACCAGAAATGATAGAAACAGATGCTTCAAAAAGAATCTTTAGGGAGGTTATGGAGGGGGGAACTTTGATGGATATCAAAGTTTAAGTGGCTGTTGGAAAGTGTCAAATCTTTTTAAGCATAAACAAGCTGGAGTTCATATCAATTTAGAAAGCTCTCAAGAAACTTCAGAATGAAGATGTTTCCTGTTAGCAGGCTCTAATACTATAACAGGACAATGCTTTACTAGTAGTATTTATTTATAGTCAAAAGTCTGAAGGGTCAGATGTACTGCCAACCATACATTTTGTTGGAAGCACATAAAGCTGGCAACCATGGTTTTTCCCCTGGCTTTGACAAGCGATATGGAGTAATTTTGCTAATTATTACTTTTGGCAAATTAAAACAAAAATCCACCAAACAGTGATACCTTCATTTGCTAACCAAAATGCACAATATACTTGTTGCAAGCTTTCGAAGCTCCACTGGCTTCTTCATCAGGCATTATGTTACAAACCAAACAGGAGAAAAAGTTGGAGATGTTAGTCAGATGCTTACATTTTAATGTTTCTGTCCTTAGTTAAGATGGTGGATTTTTGTTTGAATTTGCTAAATGGCCAACACAGCTACCCTTGCATGTTTCATTTTTTACAAGGCAGCCTTTCTTGACATGTCACAAGAATCCATCATGTTTATTAACCCAGTCCCATTGTTAATTTTTTTTAATTTGTCTCCAGCATCACAATTAGTGCTTTCCCACTTGGTAGAAGTTTCTGTACTTTCTGCAAAAATATCTGCACAAAATTGTTATCTTTTCTCTTTCTGAAGCAAAGCAAAACAGAGTACACACACACGCAAACACACACACACACACACCACAGAGCAAAATTGGTAGAACTGGCTGATTGATTCAAAAGATGCAAACAACCAATCTGATTCTTCTAATTTTTACTGGTCCAGGCAACAAGGCAGTCCAGGCAACAGGGCAGTAACTATCATAGCTTAGAATCATAAAATCACAGAACTGGTAGAGACCCCCCCCGAGTCATCTAGTCTAACCCCCTGCCATACAAGATACAATGAAAGCACTTCTGAGAGATGGCCACCTAATCTCTGCTTGAAAACCATCAAAGAAGGAGAAATTACAGTTTATAATGCAGTCTATTCCATTGTTGAACAGTTCGTACTGTCCAGAATTCTCACTAATTGGGTTTAGCTACCCAATTTTTGTGTTTCTATAATTTGTGCAAAACTCTTTCTTTGGAATGCAAAATCTGTCTTGAAACTAACAGAAAATATCTTGTCATCTTGCAAGTGAGAAGGAAAAAAATGCAATTTGAGAGAAGAAAATAAAAATAAAGATTTGTAACCTTACTTATGGTCGTACCCTCTATAGAAGCCTTTTTCTATCTGGAGGAAGACTTGAAATAATTTTCAGGCCTCAGAGAACTCCTACATAAACATTATTTTACCTTTTAAAAGTTTATTTATTTATTTTTAAAATCACAATCTCTTCCGGAACTCCTAGTGACCGCTTATAGAAGACTAGAGTTCAGGGATTGAAAAACCCTGCTCTGTTGCATGATATGTAGATATGGCCACATTTGGACGTAACCTGAATCCAAATTAGAGGTGCTTGGATTTCACTAGTCCTTGTATCACATGGCTACCCAAACATCTTTTTTCTTTATGAAAAGCAGCTATGTTTGCATTGGATGTGGTGGCTGTGACGCTAACGGTGATGATCACAAGGTCAGCAGTTCGAGACCCAAGTGCTGTGTAATGGAGTGAGTTCCCGTCACTAGTCCCAGCTTCTGCCAACCTAGCAGTTTGAAAGCATGTAAAAGTGCATGCAGATAAATAGATACTACTTTGATTGGAAGATAACAGCTTTCTGTTCGGTCATGCTGGCCACATGACCATGAATATCATCTTCGACAATGCTGCCTCTCCCAGCTTAATAACAGAGATGATCACTGCCCTTTACAGTTGGACACAACTTGACAACCTTGTCAAAGGGGAAACCTTTACTTTTTTTTATTTTTGGACTGGATTCTGAATTGGATCATAGCTGCACTATGAAACAGGGGCTTCACTCTTTTCCAACTTATATTGTTTTCAACCTGATGTTTGTAGACGTTTTCCCTGGAAGATGAACAGCAGCCTCAGAGGACAACTCTAGAAAATAAAATGGGAGGGTATAGCCCTGCATGGTGTAGTGGTTTGAACGTTGGACTAGAAATCTAGAGACCACGGTTTGGTTCCCCGTTCGGCCATGAAACCCAATGGGTGACCTTTGATGAGTCATACTTAGTTTCAGAAAACCCTATGATAGGTTAGCCTTAGGATCTCTATAAGTTGGAAATGACTTGCAGGCACACAGTAACACAATACCCCTGTTATCCTTACCATACTCTCCTCTCCCAGTATTTCTGCTCTTCAACCTTTGATACATAGTAGAGTATTCTTTTGCATGTCTCAAGTATCACATATGGTTTGGTTTGTTGAATTGATTAGAAGAGGCTTAGTGAAGCTGTGGTTCTCCAGATGTTGCTAGAGAATAACGTTCATAATCCCAGCAAGTGGACATTCTGATTGAGGTTGAAGGGAGCTGGAGTCCAACAGCATTTGGAGGTCTCTGAATTAGAGTCTTATAACATATATTGTGCTTATCTTTATGCTTATGTATTCTGTCATAACTTTGACCAGTAGGGGACAAGGCTGAAAACTTACAGAAACTCCTTTGCATCAATTGATTCCTCCACTTCCATAATTTTACATAGTAATGAATAGCCAATAGTGTATTAGATTTGGGTAATGCATTTACTTGATCTTATCTGTCGCACTGCAAGATGGGAAAGATTATTAGTGTGTCATTTGTAAAAGACATAATTATATACCCAGATGGAAATATTGCTCCTCTGTGACCTATATTGGCTTTTTGAAAAAGAAAAAAAAAGAGGAGGGAATAGAATGGTTTATTCTTTTTCTCTTAACATGCACAACTATTAAAAATATCTCCATATTTCTTCTGTGATGTCTTTCTCAAAATATTTATAGGTAGGTGATTGTCTGTTCCAAAGATATTCTTTCTTTAAACCAAAATGTGCACCAAAAATAGAAAATGTGATTTTCCTTCATTTTCATTGTTAAGCTCTAAAGGCAGTTGTGTAGAATTTTTCTTAAACTTTTGGGAGTCAGTCGATAAAATAATGACAGCTTTCAAAAAGCAATGTGAAATTAACAGCTTAGAGTTTCATTTGTAATTGTGGCAATTATTTATAAAGCACAATCAGTGAATGTTGCACATTGTAGAACAAAACACAGGTCTCATCCCCAGGAGTTTAAAATATAAATGTAAATGTGGAGATGGTGAACACAGCAACAAAAGAAGCTGGGCTTGGAGAGGTCAGAGGCTAGTAGTTAGATACAAACAAATACTCATCTTTAAAGCCTTGGATATGAGTCCCTTGGAAGGGCTCTTAGCTTAGTGGTACACCATCTGCTTTGCATGTAAAAGGTCCTAAGGTCAAAACCTACTATCTCTAGTCAACAGAATCAGTTAGGAGGTAGTGGGAAGCCACTGTCAGTGAAGGTAGACAGTATGGGCTAGATAGACAACTGCTAGAAGATAGCTTCCTTAGGGCATTCTGACTCTGGATTGCCACTGTTACCTCCAAGGTTTTAATTGTATATTGCATTTTATTGTTATTCCTATTTGTTGTAACCCGCCTTGATCCGCAGGGAGAGGCAGGCTATAAATAAAATATTATTATTATTATTATTATTATTATTATTATTATTATTATTATTGCCGTTTCTACATCAACTCATAAGTTTCTTTCTAAGTCTTCCAAAAGGGAAGGGAAGGGAAGAGAGGAGAGTAGGTGAAGTGAGGTGTACACACTTTTCCTAGCAGGCACATGGAGCACATTATATGCATTCTTATATTCACTTTCCCTATTATACTCAAAGTTCAGCTATTTTTCTTTTTTATTTGCATACATGTTATATATCAAAGCATGTAGAAATGTGCAGATGCCACTGCTAATTGTGTTCTGGTTCATATTGTATGTTTGGAAGTTGTTAATTTTATACTTTTGTCTTAAAATGTGAATCAAACTACCAAATGTGATTGCTACCAATCTCTACTTAAGAGAAGATTTTAAAATTTAGTAAACATGCCTACCTGTCTTTGTAAACTCAAAATATCTTCAGGTTTGTAATTTCTAATTACAGTCAATTACCAATAACTATGCTTTCTATAACTTTCTAAATTGGGATTAAATCAAAGCTAATTTTTTGCTTGTATAAAGCAAAAGATAAGATAGACCTAAGCTAAAACAACAATAAACTGTCTTATGTTCCAGAGATTGATGAAACATAAGGCTAGTGCAGATGTAATGTTAGTTCACAAATTAAGTAGGATTAAGGGATGAAAAGCAGACTGTTGTAAAATATCTTACTTTGTTTTAACAAGTCTAACATGCAAATCTACTTCTTTCTCTCACTGTGGTTAGGCAGTCTTGGAATACATCTAACTTTGATTACTTTCTTTTCTGTTGTAGGAGGCAAACTTTGGTCTTATATCAGTAAGTTTTTGAACAGGAGTCCTGAAGAAAGCTTTGATGTCCCTAAATCTAGAAGATCCAGCTCTACCAAAATACATTTGCATCAGGCAACTCCTAGTCCTCAAGATGGTGGAGGTAGTATTGATTCTAGAGGAAGCAATGATGGGAGCATGCTGAAGGTTTTACCGCTGAAGACCAGTCTCACTCCAAGTTCTCACGATGGTAGTAGTAACCAGGAAGATGGCCAGGAAAGTTCTCCTAAGTGGATTGATTCTGGGTGCAGTTCAGAGGAAGAATGTACTACAAGTTATTTAACATTATGCAATGAATATGGACAAGAAAAGGTTGATCCCAGTTCATTAAATGAGGAGCCTATCCTGAAAACAAATGATGGCATTCTCACTACCAAAGAGCCAGGGGGCTTCCAGGCACACACTGTTGTTACCAGTGGGAATTTGGGATCTGCATTCACATCTCAGGAAGTAAATGTTTTTGCTGATGATGCTGATCCAGAAAGAGCTAGCCCTACTAGGATATCAGAATCGCTAAGTAAATCTAAGAACAGCCCCATGGAATTATTCAGGATTGACAGTAAAGACAGTACTACTGAAGTTCTGGGGCTTGATTTTGGAGATAAACTTTATAGCTTAAAATCAGAATCATTAAAACAGTTTTTGTCTATGCCAGACCAAGATAAAGGCCTTGATGGCATAGAAGACAAATTGGGCCCTGCGTGTCAAGATACGATCAGCAGGGGTTCAAATGATTCTGTGCCAGTGATCTCTTTTAAAGATGTAGCCTTTGATGATGTTAGTAGTGTGGATGAAGGAAGGCCTGACCTCCTGGTGAATTTACCAGGCATAATAGAGCCAACAAAAGATGCAATAGTGGATAGTCCTGCCAAGCTGATGGAGCAGAATGGAGACATTTTGGAAAGCAAACATTTGGAAACTCCAGATGTCTTGCAGCTGAACAACAGTGCAGAGCCGTGTAGAGTGCTTGAGCAAAAGGCAGAACATTTGGCTGGAGATGATACAGGAGGCAAGCACAGTGACAACCAGGAAACAATCAGGATATTTCACATGACTACCAGTGACCCAACTGGATGTGGTGACAGAACTCCCTTTCGAGGGCCTGGAATAGGAGTATCTTCATCATTGGATGCATTCAGCAGGGAAGACATTTGGTTGACATATAACACACAAGCGAGCACTAAAGTATGTAAAACAGATATAGACAATGAAGCTGTTCTGCTGTTTTCTGATCATCTTGAAGACTTTAGGAAAGAGGGAACGGTTCCATCTTTGTTACACAAAACAGAAAGCAAAGAGTTAGATGTGAGGGTCAGAGGAGAGAATGAAATACATCAAATTTTTCAGGACCTCGATGAAAGATTAGCACTAACCTCCAGGTTTTACCTCCCAGAGGACTGCGTTCAAAGATGGGCAGCTGAAATGGTTGTAGCCCTTGATGCCTTGCATCGAGAAGGAATTGTGTGCCGTGATTTGAACCCAAACAACATCTTATTGAATGATCGAGGTCAGGAACTTCTGCAAATGCATTTCTTTTTATTCGCTGTTGCTTCCAATTAACTGAGTAGGCGTTTTATCTTGTAATTAGTATCTTCATTTCCTGTCTAGAGCTTCATTATCAGTGCAGCAAATTCACCCCCAGTAATAGCTTCTAGTACTTAATGATGCCATTATTCTTAATGATACTGTTTTTAGCTACAAAAGGAGTAATTACAGTTCACTTCTGCAGAAAATGGAAGGGAAAAATGTTTTGATTTCTCCTGTCGTTTTGTTTTTAGGACACATTCAGCTAACGTATTTTAGCAGGTGGAGTGAGGTTGAAGATTCCTGTGACAACGATGCCATAGAGAGAATGTACTGTGCCCCAGGTTAGAGCAATCACCTCAAATGTTTCACTTGGAAAACAGATTAGCAGCTTTCATTTTCTCATGGAGCTTTCATCCCATCCCACCCTCTGTTCCTTGGGAATACAAGCTGTTCAATATCTGCTGGCATTTTTTTAAAAAATAATGTTTAAAATGTTACCTTGGAATCTGACATGGTAATAACAAAGCATTGCTTAGCAGGAGAACCTTGCTATGAATGGTAGCTTTAACATGTATGCAGAACATTAATGAGAACTTTTTTCATTAAGAGGACATGGGATTGGAAGCCATCCTCTGTGCATAGGCCATGGAAATGGATAGGAATCAAAATGTATCACGTGGGAGGGAGGATGTGGAAACCTCCTTTGTGTGGATCTATAGCGCATCCCGGAAGATGTTCTTACATAGATCCAGAATGCATCCAAATATAGATTAACCCGGAATGCCAGAAAGCACTGTAACAATACTATATTTTCATGTGTGTTAAAGTTCTAAAGAAAGCTTATTGTAAACCTGGGACCTATTGATTTCATTGAAGACTATAGCCTAGGGGTAGGCAACCTAACGGCCCCCCGAGGCCTTTGGACCAGCCCCAGGCCGGTCCTGCCGCCCCCCCGCCCCTGCCGCCCGGCATGATGATATTGATTATTGTTGTTATTACTTGTTCTTGGGGTTTTCTTGGCAAAATCTCCACAGGGGTTTTGCCATGGCTTTTCTGGGGCTGAGAGAGTGTGCATGCATATTTTTTACATTTTTAAAAATTTTTTAAAAAAATTATTTATTTATTTATTTATTTATTTATTTATTT